TTTATTTTTGTGGTACTGGGGGTTGAACTCAGGACCTTACACTTGCCAGGCAAGTGCTTATTCTACTGAGCTATCTCCCCGGCCCTCATTTATTTATTTTTAAATGGTACATTTCCTACCTCCAGTAAGTAAGTTCTGCAAGACCAGGCATTTGTGCCAGTCCCACTGGCGCTCTGTCTGCAGCACCTAGTATGCTACCTGGCACATGGGGGACACTCAACAAATTCTCAGTGAACAGAATGAGTAATGACACAGCCGTGAACTCCTGCTGCTCATTCCTTTGCCTGCAAAAAGTTAATGATTTGTGAGACTTTCAGTAAAGGTTAAGAAGTTATAATCAGCTTTATCATGATCATTTTTTTGGAGGGGGGTTTGGGGGGCCGGAACCGGGGATTGAACTCAGGCCCTTGCGCTTGCCAGGGAAGCGCTTATTCCACTGAGCCATCTCCCCAGCCCCCCCCCTTTTTTATCATGATCATTTTATTAACACTTCCAAGGTCAACTTCAGACAGGCAGAATGCTCAGGGGGCTCAAGAATTCCGAAGGGCCTCTCTGCTCTAAGCCAGGTTTCCCAGGCACTCTTCAGGGGACCTGGGTCTCGCCAGGAGTCATGGAACAACTTCAGAGTCCAAGTGCTGCTCATCAAACTGCCTTTCTTGCCAAAGTAGATGTGGGGTCCCCAGCCCAAATCAAACCGAAACAGTAATGCTTTTTATTTCTAACAGTGTAGTCAAATGGGAAGCGTACAGGTCTTGGAGATAGCTAGACCAGGGTGCCAGTTCTGCCACTGATTATCTGTTGCTGGTAAGTTACAAAACTGTTCTGGACAAGTAAGTTGGTTTTTTTGTTGTTGTTGTTTTGTTTTAATGAAAATAAAATGGAACCATTCTCATGGGCCCAGCACAGAGCAGGTGCTCTTTGTTTTTTTTTTTTGCGGAACCGGAGATTGAACTCAGGCCTCTCCTGAGCCATCTCTGGCCCCAACAGGTGTTCTTTCAATGGTCCTCCCCTCTGGCTTCCATTCCTTTAGGTAACTTTATAGCCATTCCAGCTCTGGCTCGGAGGAGAGGCCTGGCTTGTCCTCCAAGGCAAGTAACCCCCACCCCGGGCCAGAGCCAACCCCTCCACTGTATCTGATGCCTCCACCGGTATCCCCTACACCTGCTGAGACTGCTGGCCAGACCCTGACCATGAACCCTAGCACTTAGTTTTCTCTCTTGACCCTCCCCATGCCTGCAACTGGAACTCTTGGATATGTCTTCATGAGGATAAGACACAAATCATTTCACCCAAGTTTTCCACAGTTTAAACTTTCAGAGCAGGGCTGGGGATATAGCTCAGTAGAATAAGCAGGGTCCTGAATTCCATCCCCAGTACTGCAAAGAAAAAAAAAAAAGAAAAGAAAGAAAGAAAAGAAAAACAAGAAAGAAAAAAACCAAAAATAGGGGTCAGGGAGATGGCTCAGGAGAATAAGCGCTTCCCTGGCAAGCGCAAGGGCCTGAGTTCAATCCCCAGTTGGTGGGGGGACAGACAGGGAGTGAGGTATGGGGAAAAACACTTTCCTAGCAAGCAAGGCCCTGGATTCAATCCCCTGCCTGGAAAACAAAATACAAAAAAGGGCACCCAGTAAAGTAGTTCTGCATACTGTGCGTTGCCAGGCAGGTTCCGTCTCATACCCAAAGCATGGCTGCATCCATCTTGATGCACATGTGCGCAGGACAGTCCAATCCGCTCATTCTAGGAAGAGGCAAGAGACCCAGAGATTAGTTCACTGGTCCACACCACCCAGCTTCCCAGCTGCACAGCCTGGATTAGAAGCCAGGGTTTAAGTACTGGCTTCTGCACTCCAGGCCTCCAACACCTGTTTCCATGCACTGACCTTGGCCTGGGAGTATCCTACCACTTGAGCAGAGAGAGCCAGAGCCGGGTGGAAGTGCGAGATGATACCCAGCCCCTTCTGCCAGCCAAGCCTCCCCGCACTTTGTGAATGAAGGCCAAGGAAGAGAAATGTTGCAGTGACTCCCTTTGAGCTCATATTTCTTTCTCGTTGAAAAAGTGCTTATTTCAGCATCCATCATCTCTCTCTTTGTTGTGTAGACAATCCGCCCTGTCGGAAGCTTGGAGCTGTTATTATGAATTTGTTTATTATTAGATTTATTTCTCCTCTAAGCAAATGTGTTCACAATATTCCATCGGGGAATCTTCTTAATTGTCACATAAATGTCATCTTATGTAAATTGAATATTTATCTTCCCATGGAAGGGGGTGGTGGGAAAAGGAAGAATAAACAACCTTCAGTATCGGAGAGGGAAAGGGATTCACCCACGTGTCTTCAAAGCTAAAGGTGAGTTGAAAAAAAATCTTTGGCTCACCTTTGAGGGAGAGAGGAGGAAAAGTTGGTAACGATGCCCCGGGGATGTCGGGTTGGGCTGCGGGTCTCCCCAGAGCCCCAGTCCAAAGCCAGCCCACTTTCCCAGCCCGGGCCTTCCAAGGAGGCTCCGAATTGCCCCCCACCCTCCCCATCCAGGAGGCAGCTCTTCTCCTTCCTAGAGAGAAGGTGAGCGCGGCGGGCGCAGCGGGCTGGGTGGGTGTGGTCCGCGGCTCCGGGAACCGGCCCAAGGCCCTGCCACCGCCGGCCAGCCGCCCGACAGCCCGCCCGCCTGGCGAGCGCAGGCTCTTCTTCCAGAAACTGCGAGGATCCGAGCGCACTGTTTGTGCACTACAAGGTCAAGTCGGGAAGAGGAGCCGAGGAGGAGGAGGGGCGAGGCGGCGATGGGTGGGGAGGGGGGCGCCCCGCTTCCGCGCCAAGTGCCAGCCCTCGGAAGTTGCCCCTCGGTTTTTAACCCTTTAGGCGACGAGCGAGGGGGAAGGGGTTGCCCCGGGGCAAACTCCTGCTGGAGTCAGGATCTGCAGCCGCCCACCACCCACCCACCCATCATTGCTTTCCTCACCCCCCGGAAATGCGGGGCAGCGCCGGGCGCCAGGAGCACCCGAGATGGGGGAGGGGGCGACGAGCCCCAGAGGGACCCTCTCTACGCACCGCCCCTCTTTCCTTGAGGTCGCCCACAATTTCAACTTTCTCCCGCCCGGAAGGTTAGTTTCCATTTGGTGGGTGGGGGGGAGGGCCGCGCCCCCTCCCCCAGACTCGCGCGCCCCTCCCCTCCGCTCTCGCCAGCACTTTCTGCTCACTTCTGGTGCTGCAAAACGCCACACGATTTATTCGATTTCACATTTTTAAAACCACCCCTTCCAAAACCCGGCGGAGGGCGAGGGTCTTGTAGCGTTGGAGCCCCCGGGGGGAGGCGGGGTGCTCAGTGCAGACCTCGTTTCCTCCGCGAGTGTCGCCTCCAGGCTGTTATTTGCAAAGAAACGTCTTTTTGACGCAGGGAGAAATGGCAAATTTTAAGTACGTCATTAATATGGCGCCAAAAGATTTTTTTAAGTATAAGCTTGCTTCTTTTTTTTTTAAGGTTGCGGGGGGCGCCGCCCGGGTCTGGGGTGCGAAGGGGGCGGGGTGTGAGCAGAAAGTGTGAGTGAGTGGAGGGGCGGGGTATGTGTGTGAGTGTGTGAAGTGTGAGCAGACCTGACGGGACTTGCACGGGCGCAGCCGCCGCTCGGGCCCGGCCCTGGGGACAGGGCGGGCTGGGGGCGCCCTGGAGTCCACGAGGAGTCCGCGCCCCGGGTGCAGGCGGGCCGGGGGGCCGGCCCGGCACCCTCCTCCCCCGCGGGGCCCGCAACGCTACCTGAACCGCCGCCGGAGCCAAACAGCCTGGCGGAGGGGGGGCCGGGGGTGTGGGGAGCGGAGATCCGAGTGAATTAGAAAAAGTGGCTACTCCCCTCCCTCGCTCCTCCTGCCCGCCCCCACCCCACCCCCACCCCAACACATTTTTTTTTTTTTTTCTAAAGAGATCACAAGGAAGTCTTGGTTTAAAAAGAAACAGAAACATACACAGGGGGTTGGTGAATGGTGCCGACCGCGGCCATCGCAGTTGGAGGCTATTTTTGTGGGGGGTGAGCGGCGTCCATGGAGTTACTTTGCGCCCACTCCTAGCGGCACCGGTTTGGCTCTGGCGGGCTGACCGTCCCCAGCAGGGGCGCGGGGCTGGGGACGCCGCGGACCGGGTCGCCTCCCTCGCCACGACCCCGGATGGATGTGCGCCCCCCGCCCTCCCGCGCCGGCCCCGGGAGCTCCTGCTTTCGGGAGCATCCTTCCCGCGCCGGCCCCCGCCGCGGCGCGTAGCCGAGGGCAGCGCCCCTCGGGAGGGCACCGCGGAACAAGGTAAGATCCTGCCCCGGGCGGATGGGCCCTGCGCATCTCCACGGCATTATTTGGTATTTTTGCAACAGATCTGCCAGCGCTCCTCGCTCCCTCGCTCTCTTGCTCGCTCGCTCCCTCTCTCGCTGGCTGCCTGTTCTAGGAAGCCAGCGCGGGGGGTGGGGGATGCACAGCACAGGGGAGAGAGATTGCGCATGTTGGTCAGTCGTGTTTTAAAGAGTACAGTGCGGGGAGACTGAGAGGGGCGCATGCAACAACTTTTGGAAGGGTGAGCCTGGCGACCTTCTTTATTAATGACTGCGGCAAAGCGCCCCTGGGTCGGCGAGGGGGCGCGGGCGGGCGGGGGCGCGCCGGGGCCGCAACTTGCCCGGCGGGCTCCGGCCGGCCGGTGGGGCTGCGGCTGGAGCGGGGTGCGGGGGGAGGTCGAGCGGCCGGGGGCGGGGGCTCGCAGAACCCGGAGCTAGCAGCTTTCCTGTCGCCCTGAGTTTCATTTTGTTGATACGCAGCACGTCCGGGCGCCGAACCCGGCTGAGCCGGTGCACATGACCCCGCGCTGGGCTCACGTGCAGCCGGCCCGGTCCCAGACACCTTCCGGGGGCCAACGCCTCCGCTGTGCGCCCCCTCTCTGGGTTGGGTGCACGCGGGCGCTGCACGCGGGGGCAGCATGCTCGGCTCTTGGGCTCAGAGGCTCTGCACAAATTAGACACAGTTTTCTTGGAGGGGCGGGAGACACCTTTTCCAGGTGAGTGTGGAGGTGGGCGGCCCCCGCACCTGGGGCGCGGGCTAGGGTAGGGGACAGCGCCCCCTCCGGGGTTGCCGGGGAGTCCGGCAGGGGACAGGCGCTGAGAGAGTGGAAATGTACCGGCGGCGGCCGGAGCGGCGGGTGTGCGCCCGCGGGGCGACAGCAGGGGGCGTGGCCCTTGTTTACCTTCTTCCAACTCTGCCGGTTCGCGTCCCGCTCCGGGGATAGCTCTGCAGACCCCGGCCCTCCGCCTTCGCCCTTACACCCTGGGTGGTGCGGGAAAGGTGCCGGCAAGTGGCAGTCCCTGCCTGGACTCCCTCACCTGACCCTCAAACGAGTGACATTGCAGCCCCCGCCCCCACCGAGCGCTGCTGCAGTCCCTCCGCCGGATCCCCGGCCCCGCCCCGCCCCCGGCAGAGGCATCTTCCCGGCCTCACCTCCTTCCTCCCTCCCTCCCTCTCTCTTTCCCACCCACTCGCCTGCGCCTGCGGAGCGGCTCCCGCCCGCTTCCTCCCCGCCCGGGTGCAGACTTCTGGCTCCCTACGGTCCCTTCCCGCCCATCCCTGGGTCCTGAAACATCCCCTCCTCCGGCCAAGAAAAGAGAGGGGGGTCAGCTTGGCCCCTCGTGGCTGTTCAGCCAGAGGACGAGGATGTCTGCGAGTCAGGCAGGAAGGCTTCACTCTGGCTTCCAAAGGCCCAACCACCCCGGGCCCCGGCCCCTATGACACACCGCTGCCCGGCTGGATCGCCCCCCAGCCTCCTGGGATTTGGGTGCCCTCCCCCAAGTCTCCGAGACTCCTCCCCCACCCGCGGCGTCCAGCCACCCACCTCCCAGCGCTGCCCCTGGCCCGAGCCGCCTCTTGCCCTTCCTTCTCCAGGGCCGGAGCCCCCCGCAGCTACCTCCGGCTCCTCCTCCCGGCTCCCGCGGTCAGAATCACGCCGGCGCGCCTCCAGCCTGCGCTCCCGCAGACCGCCTCCAGGGGCAGGCTGGAGGCGCTCTCGAGGCTCCCTCTAATCCCCTTAGCCGCCGCAGCCGGCCCGGGCACTTTTTACCAGCTTGGCCGCAGGCCTTTTGCGGGGGGCTGGGGGAGGGGGAGGGGCTCCGGGTTTATTTTTGCTAAGGGCACATTTCAGCCGGCATCCTGAGTCTTTGCAGTTCCCGACCTCGCCTCTGGGCCTAGCACTGGCTGGTCTTCTGCGAGATTGCGAGGCATAAACTTTGATGCAGGGGCAACTTTGGGAGGGGGGTCGTCGGGGGTGATCACGTTCGTTTCCAGAGCCGTCCCAGAGGGCTGAGGAGGGACTGCTGTGGCAGTAGCAGGACCCTCAGGTTTAAGCCCAGAAGAGCTGCCGCGCCGCACCCCTTAAGTTTGTATTTATACCCAGGGCAGGGAGGTGGAGGACCTCCAGGCTCGCGCTCCTAGGGCGGCACTGATTCTTCTCACTGGTAAAATTCCTAGTAGGACATTTGGCAAAAGGACCAGGCAGAGAGCTGCCAACAGGAGCTGGCCCTGTTTCCTGGGTTCCCAAGATGCTGGTTTCTCCCCTGCCCAGACCTCTTTTCTCACCTTAGGGCTCTAAGTGAACGCACCGTGCGCCGTCCCTCTGTCCCATCGTCCTCAGGCGGGCTGGGACTCGTAGAACCACGGAGCAGAGGAGGAAAATAACAACAGAATAACCGTAAAGGGGGAAGGAATGAGTAATGAAGCTGACCCAGGCAGGAAGGAGGGCTTTCATGTTTAAACGATATTTGCTTTTTAGGTCACAGGCTGCAAAAACAGGCTTTGATCCGAAGTGGGCGAATAATTTATTGAGAAAGTCTGCATGGTAGGGGAAAAAGGATGTTTGTTTGATCTGGAGCCCTTTCTGTTGTCCCGAGTGCTTTTGGCTGTTGTTTTGAGTGGAAAAGCATTTGGTTCCACTGCAAATGCTCCTCGGAGGGAAGTCCTTACCCCCGGCAGCAGGACTTGGTGAGTGTTGGTTTTGAAACTGGCCAAGGGTCTCCCCAGCACTTTTGGAGATCAAGTATTTAAGAACCAAGTTATTTGGATTCTGGAGGCAGCAAATGTTTCCAGAACATTTTCCCATCAACATGCTTTTCCTTTCTTAAATTGCTTGGCCAAAGGGCCAAGAGGCTGTCGGTTGTCTCTTCCACTTAGCTTTGAATGACAGGTGAGCGGGGAACAGCCATGCCCCACAGCCCAGGCCCCACATGCACCTTAAAGTTAGGCCTTTGAGGCTGACTCCCCGGTCTTTGAGATTGTGGTCGGGGTGTTCTGGTTGTTTCAGTTAATGGGAGGAGCCTATTTTCTTGTCATTGCTTCTAACCAAGGCAGAGATTTTCAGTCCAAATTCTTCATACCACATGCTGCAGGCTGGCTGGGAGCCTCCGGGTTCTTGAGGTTTTCCTGAGAGAGGCTAGATTAGGAGTCATGGGCAGTACACCCCGGTTTGCTGTCCCTCACCAGGGTTCGTTACCATGTAGTTCCCAGAGCTTCCAGTTTCAGGTCCCCACTTGCAGTTTAGGAGCCCACACAGGTTGGTCCTAGGGGCTTCAGGGATTAGTGCTCTTGCCACATCCTGGAAATTGTGGGCTTGCATATGTGCGCTAGCCCTTTAAGGGTGAAACATCAGGCAGCCTTGGTTTGAAACCCAGCTGTTGAGTTAACCACCTGTGGTACAGCTCTGGACCTCAATTTCCTCACCTGCCAATGGGATTAATGACAGTCCCTGCCTCATGGTGGATGTAATAAGTGATATGTTGTAATTTATTAATGTGTATTGCATAGACTGCTCAGGACTAAGGGCATAGCCCAGTGGTATAGCCCTTGCCAAACATGTACGAAGCCCTGGGTTCCATCACCTGCACTGCAAAGAAAGAAAGAGGGGCAGGGGAGAACAGGATTGATCCCAAAGCAAGGCATGCAGAAGGCACTTGATTAATATTAAGCTAATAATGGCTTACTATTATTATTAATGACTCAGGAAGGGTACAGTGCAGTTTGGCCTTTGCCCTTTCACCTTTAGACTAGGCCAGAGAGCCAGCTCCTCTCTGAAGAAGAGGTCAGATATGGGAGTGAGCTAGCCAGGCCTTGGCCTTTGAGGGGAAGAGGAGGGAATTCCCAAAGGACAAAGTAGACAGAAGCCCTTTAGTTCCCTCGGGTCCCCTTGGCATGTCCTGGGAGCTGGTGTGGAGGGAAGGTATGGGCATGTTCTGGGAGAGCTGGGACACTTGGCGTTGTGGAATTATGGGCTCTGATGGCTCCCCAGGCGTGGAGAAGCAAGTCTGTGAAGCAGAGTTGAGAAATCCAGGCAGCAGCCCTCCCTCTGTCCTGTGCACAAAATCATTTTTGTAACTGCAATTACTGTCCCTGAGAAGGCATTAAAGTTAATGAGAGATAGGAAAGAGTGGGGCTCTGACCCCGGTTTCCAGCAGTTTAAAAGTGTGCAGCTCTTGTTTTCTGAGCGTCTGGCCTTCCCGACACAAGGAGGCTCTGAGGACAGGTTTTCCAGCCGAAATATCATTAAATTGTATTAGCATCTTATTACACACACGCCTTAGCGGTCTGCCTCAGACAGGGAGAGTTTTTGTTTCTATTTGAAAGATTGTGTCTGGAATGGTAAATTGCCTGCTTGAAAGCCCCTTTCCCCCCTTTTTTGGAGGAGGACGAAATCCTGCTGTGTGTGGTGGCGGCCAGGCTAGGTCTGGTGGCCCCTGGAGAGGAGAGAGCGGAGGCCAGGTTGGGGTATTTAACTGCCCAGGGGACCGTGGCAGCAGCAGAGCTGAAAGGCCCACTGTTCCCTGGGTCAGCTGGAAGGGCGCTAATGGAGGCTCAGGGTGTTTGTTTGAGTTTATTTGCAGAGAGGTCTTTAAAGGGGGCTGGCACTGGGCAGTGGTGTTCCAAGGCGACACCCAAGGCCCTCACTAATACCGATGGCCAGGCTGCCAAGAAAACATTTGCCACCAAATTGCTGCCCTATTACTGAGTTGACATTGATCGCTAGCCAGGAGCCCCACCAAATAAAGCCTCATGGAAAATGTGCGAGGTCAAGACAGGGAAGGCGGGCTCTGGAAACAGGGCCAGTCTTGGGCTGCCGTTTTCACTCCTGCAAATGCAGGTGGCCTAGCTGGGCCACGTGGTCTCAGGACTCCCTGTTATCCTGGGTGCAGGGGCTACTAAGGCAGCCTCAGTGATCTGGAAAGACTGTCTTAACAGGTCAATAATTTCTGACATTGCCAGTTAAACAGAAGACTCAATGCTATTATGGGCTACTGGACTCTTTTAGAATATTTTGCTGAGTTTACACACCTATAATATTCAATAACGGAACTTAGAAAAAATGGGGTATGCCTATGAATGTCCATTTTGTATCTGTGTATTCAAAGTGGTTGGGATAGATATATAGTTGCATTCTCTTAATGAATAGAATGATTTGTTCTAATGGTGTTTGTAAATAGGATCACAAGTCCGCATCTTGTACAGCAATTAACCACTAAGAAGAATATATGCAGTGTATTATTTGTTGAAACTGTACTTCCGATTTGATTTGAAACTGTCTCATTGCTATCTGTTTATCAATAAAACTTTGAAAAAAAAAAAAAAAAAAACCCATTTTTTTCAAAAAAAAAAAAAAAAAAAAAAAAAAAAAAAAAAAAGACTGTCTTAACACTCCCAAGGAGAAGGATATTCAACAAGTAGCCCGAAAACTCCAGGCATGGATGTTCCACAGACCTTGAGTAGCATGGTGGAAAATCCTTTATATAGGTTGATGGGTCAAGACTGATGTAGGCAACACTTAAGCATAAACCCGGAGGATGAAAAATCCAGCATTTGTAGAGGAGCATGATAGGCCCAGGACTTGAACCCCAGAGAATTTGGCTTGCTTAAGGAAATAAGAGGCCAGCGAGGCTGGAAAGTGGTAAGGAAGGGGCTTGTGGTCACCATGCTCTTGTCGAAGCAAGCATGGGCCAGATTGCATAGGGTCTTGTGGTCAGGGATTGAGAGTGGTTCTTTGATCAGCAGGCAGCTTTTTAAAGATGTTCAGTCTGTGTGTAGTGAGATCTGATCTCTGCACTTTGGAGGCTACTGGGTCAGGATGCAGCTCAGTGGTAGAGCACTTGCCTAGCATGCGAGAGACTCTTCTGTCTCCAGCATCTCCACCGAAAAGAAAAAGATTGGCTGCTGCGTGGAGCCTGGTTTGTGGGGGCGCGATAGAGAAGGCTAGGAAAGGAACAAGGAGTCCAGGTGAGAGATGTGATGGGCTTGCACCTGCGTGATCTGAGAGGTGGAAAAAAGTGGTCGTGTCATGGAGGGAGAGGCAGCTGCGCGTGCCCGGCTGGCTGTGGGTACCGAGCGTGCATGCAGCTGCTGCCCCAGTGGAGTTCTCAGCAGCCTGCAGTCTGGAGTGGGGCTTCATCCTGTGCCTTGAGGGTGGAGAGGTACATATGCTGGGCAGGAAAAGGAGACATTGCCTTCCCTGGAGTCTCCTTCAGGAAGGACTCTGTCCCCTGTACAGTGAGTGCCCTGGGGTGTTGATGTCTCCCAGAACATCTTGCCTTGGGAGGGATTGGAGCAACCGAGGTGAAGCGTTTGCACCTGCCTTCGCGGCCTTGGCCTTCTAAGGAGTCCTCTTTGTTGGGCTGGGTGGGAGGGTGACTTGTGGGGCAGAGGGCTTTTCATGGGGAAATGGTGGGTGCTCACTGGCTTTGCAGTGGGTGTGGTTCAAAGGAAAGAAGCTTCCCACGGAAGCCTGAGTGTGATTCCAGTTAACACCCCCCCTGCCAAATCTGCTCCCCTAATTACAGGCTCCTAGGGGGCAGCCCTGACCCAGGGGAGTGACCCCTGGGCACTGCGGGAGATAGATTTGGACAGTGCCTGGCTTGGGCAAGGCGTGGGTCTGGGCCTTGTGCAAAGGGCCTGCACAGCGAGTGTGTCCATTCCAGGGGTCCTCCCCGGGTTCACTGCCCTTTCCGCCCAAATGCTTCCTGGTGCCCACCGGCAGGACTGCCCCCTGTAGACTGAGGCTGCTGTGGTATTCACAGCACCTGCGTGGAGCACCAGCCCCTGTGCTCGGGCTCTGCGCTGCTCGCATTTAGACTTACTAGCTGATTCTGGCCCATGAACGTGTTTAGTTTGGCCCTCTGAAAGTGTTTGAAAAACTCTGACTCAGTTGCCAGTAGTTTTAAATTCAAGAGACTGGTATAAAAATCCAGATCCAGCTTACCTCCTGGGAGGTAGTTCTTTGCCAAAGACCTTGGCCTGGTGAGCAGTAAGGCAAGGATTTGAACCCAACCCCCATCCATGGCTCAGCTCCTGCGCCACTCCCCTGAAGCCAGGGCCTTGTGCACGCTGAGCACATCCCTTTCTACTGAATTGCACCCCCCCACCGGCCCCATAGCTTCTGCATTTAATGCTGTGGGAACCCTAGCTTGGACGTGCAATCTCTTTGGAAAGAGAAATGTGATTACCATTCAGGATTGTAGGTGAAGAGGGTGGGGCCATGGAGAGTGCTTCTCCCTGCCTCCTGTGCACTGGTGACAGGGCTGGGCAGCATTCGGCCAGAGCCGGCCTTTCTCACATGTTTGACCCTGAGGCCTGGGAAACCGGGGAGCATCGCTGTGGGCATTGGGCTGCTTGCTCTGTGCTGCACAAAAGGTCAAGAGTGCGGCCTCCTGAGCTAAACACCAGCCAGTTACTTAACCTCCAAGCTGCAGTTTCCTCATCTGTAAAGGGGAAGCAGCCTTCACATCCTTCTGCCACCAAGAGATGTTTTGTGGGTTCCACAAGGTCCCAGTGTGGCAGAGAAACTCCCCACCCCACCACCGCAAGCGTGCTTAGCAGAGGCAGTTGCTGTCGCTCCTTCTCTTGGGCATCTGTGCTGCTGGCGCCACCCAGTGTCCCTCAGCTCCTCCCCCTACGGTGACACTACCCCCTTTGGAGCTCAGCAGCAAGCAACCCCAGAGGTGCTCCTGCCATTCTGTTGGCCCTCTGGGGTGGAGAGATGCTCCTGGCTGAGGTCAGATGCAAGGCATGAGGGTGATCCTGGTCACTGCCTTACTGAACAGGTGTCCCCTGCAGGGGACAGCAGGAACAGACCGGGAAGGGCAGCAGGCAGTAGTGGGTGTTAGGTGGCAGGTGAGACCTAAGCAGGCTCCATCCTCACCTTAGCACTGGCCCCAGAACAGCTGTGAGACCCCGAGCAGCTTATCAAGCTGCCCCCCAAGGGGATTAAAACAGGCTGCCAAGTGGGCCTCTGCAGGACTAGAAGGGTGGGTGGGAAAGGCTTCCAACAGAGCAGGGTGCTGAGATGCCCGCCTGGAACCCCAGCTCCTCGCACAAATTGGATGCTTAGCCTGGGCAACTGGGTGATTTCCGGAGACCCTGTCTCAAAATTTAAAAAAAGACTGAGTGTGGCAGAGTGCTCGCCTAGCTGTGTAAGCTCCGGGTCCCTTCGCTGGCATTGTACCTGAACAGAAAGGTTTCCAACAGGCTGGAGCTAATGGTTTGTACAAAGACCGCCCAGCCTGGGCTCGGGGATTAGCCTTCGCCTCAAAGTTCAAATCTTATTGCAGCCAGTTACGAAAAAGGCAAGGCACTGAGCTGCCTCTGAGTGGAGTGGGTAGCTCACAGTTCACTGGGTTATTTGGGGCGCAAAACAATATGGGTAAAGAAGGGGCCCTGGGTTCTGTGTGAGGTCTGTGTTGGGGGGGCTTTTCCATCTGAGATGAAGTTAGTTTGCACTTTTGTCTGGAGAAAGACAATGAGGGTAGGGCGCCAGTGGCCAAGCCCGGGGCAGTCACCCTGAGTCAGTCACCCTCGGTCTGATACTGTCTCAGGCACCCACCCCAGCTGGCCACCATTTTGCACAGTGCCCTCAGTGCTGGCTTGTCCCTTATGGGGAGGCACGGACCTTCCTCGAAGGATCAGTCTTGTTCCTTCTTCTCCCCTCCTCCCCTGCTCTCTGTGTAGGACACTCAGGAGGTGCCTGACCTGGGAATGGGTTTTCTGCTGGGACCAGGTTTCAGTGTTGTCTTTGGCCAGACCTCTCATCTGAGCGCTCTGGCTCTGGAGATAGAGATGCAGCCTCTGCTCTCAATCCCTCCACTGTGGGTGGGTGGGGAGCATGCAGGGCCGGTGGAGGAGAAGGTGAGGTCGGGATGGGCCTTCTCTTCCTCCTCTGCAGGGGCGTGGGTGTGGGGTTGTGGATGACGGCTTGGTGTTCTGACAGGCTGAGGACTTCCCAAGCTGTCCACGAGTGTAACAAACCTCTCTGCCTTTTGTTGCAGATGGAAGAGAAGAGGCGAAAATACTCCATCAGCAGTGACAACTCTGACACCAGTGACAGTAAGACTTCCCGTCTGGGGCTCCTGCAGGGAAAGTGTGTGAGGCCTGGGTAGGAAGGGGCTGCCCTATGGTCTCAGCTCAGCCAAGGGGTATAGTGATAAAGCATAGATCGGATTGGGGCCCTCTGCTCTTCATCTAGTTCTGCACCCTGCCCGTGACCTGCAGGGTCTTTCTGTCCCTTTCATTTTACTTCTCTTACCTTTTAGGTCTCAGCCATACTCATTTTGCTGTGGTTAGGATAGCTCTGCTGCCCTCAGGGCCTTTGCAGGTAGCACTTCTGGCTAGTGGAAGAAAAAAGGCCCTTTTTGCCCTTCCCGCAGGGTCAGGACCCTTTTAGGAAGTCTTTAATATCATCTAAAACTTGTTGCTCTTGACTATAATTATCCGATAAATACTCTTCTCCAGCCAGTGGGACACAGCTTGATAAGAGGGCTCAGGTCATCTTGGCTGCTATATCTGCAGCTGCAATCTGGCATATAGTAGGTGCTGGGTAAATGTTGAGTGAAGGAACTGCTGAAGAAGCCCACACTCCATGAGCTCTTGGAGGCAGAGATCTACCTCGCCGAAGTGGAGTAGGTGTGTCAGGTGGCCACCGGGTGGGAGGAGCCAAGGCATATGGTCAAGGAGAAAATGGGGCTTCCAGAAGGAGCCTCTGTAAGCTGGGAGCAGAGAAGGTGGGGAGGTTGGTGCGAGGTGAGAGCTGCCATCCAGCAGCTCTTCTCAGACGGCCTGGGAAGCAAGGCGTGTGGGTGCCCGTTGGAGTGAGTGGTTCCATCCACTGTGGGTAGCAGATCAGGCGGATGCCACCTAGACGCAGCTGTGCTGCCGCGGCGGCCGGGCCCGGAGCCCTGTGCCGTCTGTTCACACGCGATGAACCAGGGTGGCGTTAGTGGGGTCTGTGAAGCCCCTCCTGGTTTGCGGAGTTCCTTGGCCCCCTGAAAGCCTCAGTGTGATAGCATGGCTGGTGAGGGCCCAGCCCCTTTCCTGCACCTGGGTTTCACTCACTGGCTTTGGGTCTGGCTGTGGTAGCCAGCTTGGCCTCCCCATACGGAGATCACAGCATCTACCTCGTGTGGCTACAAGCGTTGCTTACGGCCCAGTTCAGTAGAACCAAGAACCACAGCCTCAGTGCCTGCAGAGGAGCCCTTCGAGGAGCACGTGCACAAATGGGCATCTGGGCCCTGAGCCCTGGAGCTTCTTCAGGACTGGGCCAGGCAGGGGCCACTTCCTCCTCCAAGCCCCCACTATGCCCTATGACTGCTACTCTTGTTTACCCAAAGCAGTGGGTCTGTCTGTGACCCTTCTTGATGTTTTATTGACTCCTAGGACCAGAGGGCCTGCAGTCTAGCAAGGGCCTTAGGCCTTGGGACCAGTAATGCTTACTGAGGAATCCCTTTGTGGCAGGGACTGCGCTCAAGGGCACGGTGCCATTCAGTCAGCCCGCGGAAGACAGTTCATCTCTGTGCCTCTGCGTTAGCTTCACCTCTCTGTGCCCAAAGGCTTGAGGTGGCTGGTTTATTAAAAGGAAGTCTATTTAGCTCACAGTTGGGGGAGATTTCAGTCCACGAGTAATTGGTCCTAATAACATAGGTTTCTTTTCTAAGGCCCAACATCCTAAAGGTGTACAGGTTGTCCCAGTAACACCACCCTGGGGACCACATCTCCAGTGTACGGGCCTTTGGAGGACACTTGTACAAACCATCACAGCCCTGCTTTATAGAGGAGCAAACCAAGGCTCAGAGATGAGATCGTTTGCCTAAGGCACCGGCCAGCTAGTAAGAGGCAGAGTCAGGTCTCATATGCTTGGGGGTCTCTGCGTCTGCTTCAGCAGCTTCCCGCTGCCCCATTTTGCCTGTAGGATTGCGCTGTACCTAACTTGCAGCTGGGAGAGGGCACCCAGCGCTTGCTCAGCACCCCTTGACTGAAGCAAGAAGCAAAGCCCCAGGAAGTCCGGGACCACTTGGCTGGTGTCACACAGTGAGGCACCTGCCTTTGATTTTCCAGGCCCTTTCGGGTGGATGAGCGCAGAGGCTGAGACCCAGAGCAGGGACAGAGGTCTCTCCTGGTCACTGAGGCCCAAGCTTTGCTTGCAGCCCCCTACCCTGCTGTGGGTGGGGGCGTGGCTGGCCCTCCAGGACCCCTCATGGGCCCTTCTCTCTGCAGGTCACGCCACACCTACGCCAGTGTCAAGATGTCCCAAACTGCCGAGCAGCACCAAGGTGGGCTGGCCCCGGCAGAAAGAAAAGAAGCCCTCAGAGGTGGGTAGTGATGAGCGGCGAGGTTCTTAGAAGCCTGGGTGGGGGTTGCTGGGGCGGGGCAGTGAAGTGCTGGCACAGGTGCATGGCTCAGGGTGAACAGGGAGGCCAGGGTGGCTCCGTGGAACGAGTGAGGCCCTTTCGCCTAACTTCCTCTTAGGTCGTCCTCAAGCTGTTCCTATCCATCTGAGGAGAGAAACACTGCTCTCCAGCTGGAGTCAGGCTGAAGGATGGGGTCCGCCGAGCCACCCCCATAGTAATTCTCTTATGATGGGATCACGAGTGGGTGTGCATTGTTAGCCTTCCTCCTTTGGTCTGCGGTGTCTCCCACAGATGGGGGTGTTGGGGGCTTATGGAGCCGTGGGGCAGAGGATTAGTAGGCAGACTTACACCAGGGCCCTGCCTCCAGAAGCCCTGGGAAGGCTGCGTCCTGGGGCCTGCTTGTCCGCCCTCGGCCTTCGATGCCGGTGCCCCTGCACGGAAGAGGCCTTGGGCCCAAGTTGGACCGCAGGGCCTTGCAGGTTTGGGTTTCCAGCATTGCTCTGCAACCTGGGAGAATCCACACATTGACTGGGCACTGCTTTTTGTTGTTGTAAAAAGTTTTAAATGTTTCTTTAAGCAGTGGCAAAGTTAATTCGAGAAAGTAAAAGTAAAGCGGGAAGGAGAAACTGGCTCTGCAGAGGAAGCTTGAGCCGACTGAGGAGAAAAAGGGCAAAGGCCAAGGTAGTAGTACAGGCTTGTCCTGAGCGCACTTACGGAACCCAGGCTGGCCTTGAACACACAGCAAACCTCCTGCCTCAGCCTCCCAAGTGCTGGGGTGACAGGTGTGGGCCATCATGCCAGCCCTTTTCATGTCTTTTCAATCATTAAAGGGTACTTTTAATTATTAACAGGACTCCTGAGATCTCTCATGGATGAAGGAAACTTTGAGTCTTAAGGTCATGTCTCTTAAGACCTTGGAAATCTTGGGGTAGGGAAGGCTGGAGTTCCCAGAACTCTTGGTTTAGGTTGAGGGAAGGTGTTTCTTTCCAAGCCATTCCTGTCTTTCTTGTCCCCCCACCCGACCCTTGGAAGCCATCCTAGTACCAGTATTTAGCTAGCCGTTGGGAGGGCATCCGGAGAGCTTTGCATTTGAAAAAGGGCTGCACCTCCTGGAGTGGCCTAGTCCTGAGTCTTTCATCTTGGGAGGTGGGGCCCGGTCCTTTGAGACCCCTGTTCCCCATTCCCCCACCTGGTACCCTTTCCTTGTCCCTTGGGGGAGGGGTAAAGATGAATGGCGAGATCTGTGGGGACACTTTTAGGGAGGGGAGGCTCTTCCCGCGCCTCTCCCCCACAGGAGAAAGGAATGGAATGTGCCAAAGGCAAGTGAGGTGCCCTCCTGGCCTTGAGACCCACAGGGTCCCCAGTTGCTACAACTTTGTTTGCCCCTCCCCCATGGTTTCAGTAGTCAAGAGTGGCCACCTATCTGTACCTTCCTAGCCCCCAGACTAGAAGTATCACACCTATTTGGGACAAGAGGAACCTACTCCTTAGAATTTCTCCTTGTCTCTGGTCAGGTTGGAGTGGGGTGGAGACCCTTCTGTTGACCCTCCCCGCTTCCCGGACCCAGGCTGATCCCAAGCTCCTCTCCTCCCAGCCCTTCTCCAAGCTCAGGTGAGAGGAGGGCTGCCTCCCGGGGCCCAGCTGCCATCTACCCCAGGATCTGGCTTGGCTGGGAGGAAGCAGGTGCCGGCAAAGGCTGAGAAGCAAGAGCAATTTGCATGGGGGAGAAAATCCCCCTGCCTCTTGGGTTTTCCAGCCCAGAGCCTTTGTACCTAAAAATAGAGTCAAAGTCTGGTAAGGGGCCTGCTGGGGGCCAGCTAGGAACAGTCCCAGGACCCAGGCCAGCAGCCTCTTGCAGGTGGCTGTGGGGTCTGAGTGGGAGGTGCCTCCCCCTCCCAGCTTCCAGGAGGGCTGAGGCGTCCTCCCAGCCTTGAACGTTGGCCAAGGACAAGATTTTCCTCCCTCCCATAGCAGGCTGGAGAGCAGCCTGTGAGGTTTCCCTCTTCCCCTAAGTGAGAAGGTTGAGCCGTGGCTGCCATAAATCCTGAGTTATCGTGGGACAGAGGAGATGCCGTCAATGAAAGCTTCCAAATTATTTGGCTCGTGAGAGGGCGGAGAGGAAAGCGAGGACTTGGCTGCAGAGAATGTTTGCTCTAAATTGCACTAAATCTGCTCACCAGGCTACTCCCTTCTCTTTCTGTGAATGAGCTGTAAGAGGTGAGCCAGGCTTTCCAGGCCTGGGGGCCAAGGGCTTTGGGCATCCTAGCAAAAGGGTTCTGGGAGCCCCTTGTGTCTGGAGCCTTATGGAGTGGCTGCTGGACAGGTCTCACATGGTGTTCTCTGTCTGGAATGCTCGCGGAGCATCCGTGTGGTGCAGAAAATCCTCTGGTGCCTGTAGACTGGTGGGATGCAGGGTTCCTGGCCCCTTCATCTCCGCAGGTGGACAGGTATGGGGCAGATTTGGGGGGCGCTCAGTGGGTGTCCAGTGAACCCAGCTGCCGTGCGATGGCTGGGATTGGGTTTAGGTGAGCCAGACAGGGCTGCCCTTTGGTGCTGCGTCGGGCTGTTCCTCTCAGTACCTGCCAAGGGTACAAATTGGGATGCCCTTATTACCAAAGGAGATGTCCAGGACTGGAGACAGTGCTGACCAGAAGTCAGGACCCTGGACAGTGTTTCCGATCTGGTTCTTACTCAGTGGGCAGGCCCTCCCTCACTGGCAAGGGGCCTGGCAGACCTTAGAGCTGAGGGCTGCAGGCACAGACCCGAGAACCTCAGTGGCTGGGTCGGGATTTTTGATGGAAGGACATAAAGTCTGAAGCTCATCCCAGAATCCTCTTGGGCCATGAAAGGAAGAGGGGAACTGAGCCAGATCTTTGCCTGCCCTTGTGGTTCCATCCCCTGGCCCTTAAATCCTCACAAAGGGGAAGGGTTTGTCCCAACCCTCCTAGCTGCTTTAATCATGTAAATTTTTCTACAGCTGGGTTTCTGGCCAGGCCTGTCTCATCAGATGAAGTAGCCTTTCCTAGTTTAGTTCTTAGCCCCTGGTGGGACTCACCTCTGAGAACTCAGTTGGAAAGGATTTTTCTACAGCCTGAGAGCAGACTTGCACCTAATCCCGCCCCTGGGTATTTTGACTGAAGTGGTCTGGAAAAAGGCCCCTCACTGTACCGTTGTAAAATCCCTCCTACTGAGGCTGGGGTTAAAGCTCAGATCTTCCATTTGCCAAAGAGGGTTTCCTGGTGTGTTGTTGCTGGAAGCTGTGGCAGGATTGAGGGGGAAGGGGTCTCCAGGGACCTCAGCAAAGGCAGGAGTGGGCTGACACCTCCTCTTCCCCTCTTCCCGGAACTTCTTCCATAGGTGCTGACTTGGCCTGCCTGGGACCTGAGGGACACTTCTAGAAGAGCTAGGGGCCAGCCCTGTGGTTGGTGCTGCAGGCTTTGTCTTCCTCCAGTCTGGGGTAGGGAAGAAAGAGGAAGAGCGAGGCAGGCTTGGGGTTTTCCCCTGACAGGCCATGGCAAGGACAGAAACGTGCTTTCAGGAAGTCCTTGTCCCCAGGAGTCAGCCTGGGCAGCCTGCCTGGGACCCCGAGCTGCGGGTGCTGAGTAAGATCAGCAGGCACTCAATGCGCCCAGGAGGCCTGGCTCCAAGCTTGGGCAGTGCCAGGGGCTAGCGCATCCCCAGGGAGCTTGTGTCACAGGATGCAGGTGCAGTGACACAGAAAATGGCTGTTAGTGGAGGTACAGCCAGTTTTTCCAAGAGGTTCAGGCTTTGCCACTGTGACTCTGGGCAAGTGATTTGTTCCTTTCTCCCTTAGCCTGGGGATTGTCTTCTGTTCACACCGTGGTGCTTATGTTCTGTAGATGTGATTGATCTTTCCTGAGACCCCTGGGGTAGGGGGTGGGGAGGCCCCAGAGATGAGTGGTGTCAGAGGTCAGGGTGTCAGGTGAAATTAACACCCTGAAATAGAAGCCTCCATGGAGTTGCCAGCTCCTTTGTAGGTCCTCGTGACCAAGTAGCAGGGGCCTAGAGGGGAGAAGGAGACCTTTTTGAGCTCCATGGGGACCCCTCACTGATGCCTCAACTCTGGACTAGGGGAGAGAGGTGAAAATAACCTCTGCTGCCAGCAAGGGGGTGTCCCCTAAAACTGGTGTCCAGTAAAACCCCCTTCCACTCGCCTGGCAAATGGCAGTGAGTGAGGAGGAAACTTTGCAGCTCCACCCCTTGCATTTATGAATGGCAGCCCCCCCCACCCCAACAGGGGTGATGTGGGGGTGCTGGCCAGATTATGCTGGGGCTGAAACATAGGATACAGCAAAGGACATCCTGGAGGAGCAGAGGTATTATCCAGATGTTTAAGGTAACATTTTTTCTATGGCATATGTTGTAGCAACATGGAGAACACTCACAAACCTGAGATTAAATGGGCGAATCCCAGAGCCTGCCTTGTGCCGGCTCCTGTGGTTCTGAGCCACCTTTGTGGCCCACAGCAGGTCCTCTCCATGCTGGAGGGCGGCAGGGCAGAGGGTGGGGGGCCTTTGCCGTGGGCCAAGTGCCTGGTCTCTGAGATACCGTTCTAGGGTGGGGGAAAAGGATCCACTCTTTTTTTTTTTTTTTTTTTTCAATTAGTCGGAAACACTGTTGCTCCCGCCAGCTGGAAAGGCCTGCCTGGCCTCTGGGACTTGTCTTGCAAAAGAAATGCGTGCAATAAATTCTCTTTAAGAGCAGGAAGTGCTATTATCCTTGTGAAAGTAAGAGAAAGTGAGGTGGAGTATTTTTGTTCTTGCAGCATTTGATCAACTCAGCCTAGTGGTGGCCGAAAAGATGCCTGGGAGAAGGGCGCTAATCCCAGAGCCCTCTGCTGGCGTTTTATATCTAATTTTAACTATGAAGTTTGCTCTTGGCTGAGGATATTGTTTATCAGCGTGCAGCCCATAAAGATTATTTAAAAGATAGAATATTTGTTGACTTGCTGTCAATGTTCAAGAGCACTGTGGGCCTCAAGCAAGGGGCTTGACCTTTAGGAATATTTGTCTCTGCATCTGTAAAGTGAGGGCAGTATGAATTCGGTTGGACCATGTAGTAAAGCGTTTAGCACAATACCACATGTGACGTGACTCCACTGTTAGCTGTTACTTCTGATGATGGGACTATCCAGGAAACACTTGGACAGACCCTCAAACTTGCCTTGGAGTTGCCGGTGTACTCCCTCCTGGGATAGACAGAGGTCAGGGAACGGCTGTGCTAACAACCATTTCTCTCAGCTGAGGGACAGTGGCCAAGGCCAGTTTCTATATCCTGCTTTGGGTTAGTCTCCTGCCTCAACGCTCCCTACCTGCTCCCTATAGGTCTCTGCTTGACAGGAAGATTCAAGGTGTGGTCATACTTAAGGCAGATCCTGGGCTTCATCCGTTCATTCATTCATTCCACATGTATTTGTTTTTTCTTTTTCTTTCTTTCTTTTTTTTTTTTTTTTTTTGTATTTTAGGGAAGGGTCTGCAGGGTATTCAGGGTCTCACTACTAGATCAGACATGTAGTGATCTACCTGTCTACAGCCTCCCGAGAGCTGGGATTACAGGCACGCGCCACCATGCGTCTCAATTGCCATTTCGGTGTGCCCTTGGGGAAGGGCCTGCACGGCAGACCCCCTGCGCATCCGCTGACCTATTTGGCCAGCCCTCACCACATGTATTTCTCAAACACCAGCTGTATGCCAAGTGCAGTGTGAGTGTTTGTTTGAAAGTCTCGCTATTTAATTGAGGCTGGTCTTGAACTCACTGTGTGACCCAGGCTGGCCTCAAATTCAAGGTGATCCTCCTGCCCAGCCTCCTGAGTGCTGGGTTACAGGCGTGTGCCGCCACACCCGCACCAAGTGCAGCATTGCACATGGGTGCAGTTATGACAGGACACGTAGGATGGGTGCAGGGTCTGTCTGTCAGCAGTTAATTATTAGAGGAGACAGACATTGAACAAAAAATGACACACATAATTTCATTTTGTAATTGTGCTAAGTGCCTAAAAGAACCAAACTCCCTCTTGGTGCCTCTCGGTCTAAAGGACGCTGATGTAGTAACTGAGCCCTGGAGAGAGGGCGGCACCAAGTTTTCGGGATGAAATGTTCAAGTAGCAGCTACAAATCACACCATCATGTATTAAAACTTGCGGGGTGCCTGCCCTCTGGGTTCCAGCACACTTTGGGGGTTCCCTGTTGTTTTTGGAGCTCACAGCTGCTAGTGCTCCTTTCTTGCAGAGCCTGTGTTCAGTTCTGGGGAGACTTGTGTGGATGGTGTGGCCGCAGGTTTCAGGTAAAGGAACCCCATGGCCGCCACGTGATGTGTTCTGAGGTGACATCCCTACGTTGGGGCTCAGTGGGGTTTTCAGCACCCCCTGAGGCTGCGTACCACCCTTGGCACTCACCCAGGTTGTTAAATTGGAGCTTGAGGTCACTAAGCCTCCTTCGCACTGTTTGAAGAGGCTCTGGTGAGTGTCTCCCTAACAGCTCAGCAGAAGTTGGTTGCCAGGCAGCGGACCTTTCAAGACAATTTGTCCATTTCTGCCAAAAGAGAAAAAAGTAGTAAACATTTACATACTTTAAAAAAAAAGGCTTGTCATCCACCTTGCAGCTTTCCTGCCATGGCAAGAATTCTGCTCACCAGTGCCCATCGGATTCTTATTTAGTTGCTGAAAATTAATTCAGAGGAGTTTTAGAATAATGGATTATTTTCCAGGTGAATCCCTGGCCATTCAGAACAAAAACTGTTCAGCTTAGAAATGGGCTGCTGTATTGATGGTACTACCAGTGTGCAGAGGCCACTCAGGGAGGCCACTGAGTGCCCAGCTGTGGTTTTGGCCACCAAGGAGGAGGCACCTGACCCATGAGTGGCCCGGGTCTTCAGTCCCCAGTGAGCTCCAGGCCCCTGCTCCTCTGTGAGGTTCCACATGGTGGCCCTGCCAGACCTCTGTAACTCCCTCCTGGTGGGAAAGGCAGGGCAGTAAACTGAGAGAGTCCAAACAGGAGCTGAGAGAGTTCAGACAAAGCAGAGCCCAGCCGGGTAATGGGTGAGGCTTCTCAGCTATAGAGGAGCTGGACCAGGCTTTTCAGGGTGAGGCCAGGCACCCATAAATGGAGTGCAGAAAACCCCTTTGGCAAACAAAAACAGGGTCCCAGGG